ACCCTATATTTTCGCTCTCCATGTCACTTGGGATGGTTACGTCGACTGATCTTTCTCGTAGCTTATCCTCCACTTCTTCAACCAGGGATGGGTCAATATCCGTTCCAACTAAACCGGCGTTGATAGACAGCTGTAGTAGATGACAGAAACAAGGGATCTATGGATTGAGGTTGAGTCCACTCCCCCATCTGCACATAACTTACACTTCCGTATCCCTTGAGGTCCAAGGCTTTCTCGTTGTTGGCCGCACTATCACACACAAACAGTGCTTCGGTGGGAGCGATGTCGTAGAAGGCACAAGTCTGAAACCGAAGTGTTCTCTACGTCCACAAAAGGTTTCCAGAGTGCGAAATCCACACAGAAGCATCTCACTTATGTACTACTTCATCTATCGCCATCTTGAGGCTCTCACTGGTACCGTCTGGTATTTCTCTCAGGTCTAACACGACTGGAGTAGGTTTGTCCGTGTGCACGTTCAAGGTCAAGGCGATGTACTCCTTGCTGTGCCACGTGTTGTGCCAGCAATCGAAGCATATCTGCGATACAAAGACGATTTTCAAGTCTCTAGCTCGTAGTCTACGAGTCGTAGACTCCAGCAAGTATCACCTGTAGTGGCCTTCTCTGCTTGGAGATCATTACTTTCAAGTCTTGCTGTCTGCTCTGTGCAAGCTTCACCATATCGCGTCTCAGGGTAGTCTCAGAGGGAAGAATTCGCTGCGCGTCCAGAGGCGACCCGAGCTTGGCACCAACGGAAGATATTACACGAACAAAATTAATCATGGCCGGGCTCTCGAACGACAGATATGAGATACCAATTTCACTCAAGAGTACCAACGCTGCCTCTCGGATTGACCTTTTCTGCTCGTCGGAAACATCGGCAGTGGGTATGAAGTGAGTGATTCTTGTTTGATTCTCAGCACGTTTGCATACGTGAGTACGCATAGCTGCTGTGGTCCCGTCTGGGCCGCGCACCCACACTTTACATGTGTTGCAGCACAGCACACAGCTAACTTCATCTCCTGTAGTGCGGCACAGA